TTTATATCTAGGGGACCCTGAAGAAATCTTGTTCAATTCCCAATCCATTCAACCCAGCAAGCAGGTCCAGAGAGCAGGCAATGATGTGTGGAATCCCATGGGCTCACCCGTGGTGTGATACTTGGAATATATTGTTATTGGAATATTTTAATTGAGGAGCTGTTTAACCCATGCTATATTCAAATTACACTGTATGATTATGGGGTGTCCAAAATGGGGTTATCCTGACTGGAGGCCGATTGGCGGCAGTAAAAAAGCAATGGTTTATCTGGCAAGAGTCAAGTCTAAAGTATTCAACCATTGTGATTAAGGATTTCATGGGTGCCAGGTAAGTTGGTTGAATAATTCCACCCCCAATCCCAAGGCAGTTTTCTATCAGCAAGCCCCCAAAGTCATGTAGTCGAACCAAGTGTCTAATGCCACTCCATTAAATTAGCACCAGGATTCTTTACTGGGCCAAAAAATTGTCAGGTGCCTTCAATCTCCATTTCCTCGCCATCTGATTCCCATTGATCGAGCATAACAGTATCGGAGCCCAGGGTGTCACAATGACAATCCCCACAAAAGGCATCGCAAGGCACTAAGGTCCGGCCATAGTAGTTGACTAATTTGAGATTACGTAAATTCAATGAAAATTGCTAGTCATCCAATCCATCGAAACCAAATAGAAATAAATCTAACGAAAAGATATGCCGTTGGCTTGGCCTAAGGGACTCTTCTGGCCAGGGCAAGATGAAGGGGAAACTGATGATGATGATGAGGAGGAGGACGAGGAGGAGGAGGAGGATGAGGATGGTGATGATGATGATGGTGATGATGATGGTGATAGTGATGGTGATGATGATGGTGATGATGATGGTGATGATGATGATGATGATGATGATGATGATGATGTTGGTGATGATGGTGGTGATGATGATGATGAGGGGAATGATGATGCTGATGATGGTGATGATGATGATGATGGTGATGATGATGGTGATGATGTTGGAGATGATGATGATGATGGTGATGGCGATGGTGATGATGATGATAATGATGACGTTGATGATGATGACGATGATGATGATGGTGATGAGGAGGAGGAGAAGGAGGAGAAATAGAAATAAAACTACGAAAAAGATATGCCAATGGCTTGGCCTAAGGGACTCTTCTAGCCAGGGCAAGATAAAGGGGAAACTGATGATGATGAGGAGGATGATGATGATGATGAGGATGGTGATGATGATGATGATGATGATGATGGTGATGGTGATGATGATGGTGATCATCATGATGATGCTGATTATTATTATGATGATGATGGTGATGGTGAGGGTGATGGTGATGATGATGTGATGATCATGATGATGATGATGATGACGATGACGATGATGATGATGATGATGATGATGATGATGAGGATGAGGAGGAGGAGGAGGAGGATCGCTGCAACCGCTGAGGCCCCGGCGGTGGCTGCAGAAGCCGCCGGGCGCCACAGCAGCGGCAGCCAGCGGCGGTGGCAGTCGGGGGTTATATTATTTCCCATACTTATTTTATAATTATACTATAATAGGTGTGCTTTGTACATTTTGACTTCGAAATGTGCTTCGCGCCACAAGGGCGTGCACTTTTTCGACATCTCAACTTCCAAAAGTGGTCCGACGCTGAGGTGTTTTGTATATTTTCACTTGGAAATGTGCTTCGCGCCACAACGGCGTGCACTTTTTCGACATCGCAACGTCCAAAAGTGATCCGACCATGGTGTGTTTTGTGCATTTTCACTTCGAAATGTGCTTCGCGCCACAACGGCGTGCAATTTTTCATTTCTCATCTGGCCAGCTGGCTCCGCACCTGCCGCTTTAGCGAGCCTACTTTTCGACCCTCCAGAGCCTCAAATCATTGGAAAAACACAGTGTTTCGCGACTTCCCTACCTTTTCGCACATCTGCATCTTCTTTCTTCTGACTCTTTCTCTTCTGATCTTCTCTCTTCTAATCTTTCTCTTCTCTCTGCCTCTGCCCTGCTCTGCTTTTCATCTGTCCATATTGTCGGAAGTTTGACTTCTAAACTTCCTTCGATAATTATACTATAATAGGTTTAAAATTTATGGAGTGAACCCACAATTGGTTGTGTTCATTAATTTATTGATGAATTTGCCAGGGCATTAATTATTTTACCCGAATGGGTTATGTAGAGAAAATGAACGGTTCATTTTCCTGATATTAAAAGGTTATTGTTATAACTATAGCCTATAATATAGCCCTATGGGGAATTGCTAAGGGAAAATGAACCGTTTATTTTCTCATTCATAAAATCATCTTGAGTAAACTCATTAGGACCTCTGATCTTATTATTATGAATTCTAAATGTCCTCATGCCAAGATATTGCATAAGATATTTTCTCAATCCAGATTAATCATCATGATAAAGAGTACCGATGATATTACATAAGGATCATAAATTACCGAAGTTCGATAATAATAATGAACATGAATTATTGGAATAATGTTGAAACAATAGCGGTTGTGGATGGAATCCAATGAATATTCTCAAAAAACATCTTGTCACTTTTTGACTTCCTTAACCTCTGGCCAGATATGTATATATATATATGTATACATGTATATATATATATGTATATATATATGTGCATATATATATGGGTGTGTATATTATATGTATAGATATATGTATGTATTTATATATATATATGTATATGTATATGTATATATTATATATATACATATACACACACGATTAGGATATTAATGATACTCTGTATAATTAATATATATGCATGGATTCCAAATGATCGTGCATTTATCTTCAAAAATGTTCTCAACTATTCCACAGTTCCCGTGGATCCAAAAATCTCTGGACACTTCAAAATCCCAAAGCCTGATGGAATGGTTGATGCTTCCTGTTTCATCAAACATCATTTCAGCATCTCAGACGGCGCCTGATTTCTTCTCTTTGGGCGCATTCGCTCCCTGCGAAGTGCACACTGTGAAAAAGCGAGCAACCCAGACAGCAGGTATCGAGTCATATCATGGGTAATCGACTAGGTACCCTGCAAGAAATGACACGAATAGCAAGCATGTTTTTCTTACGGCCGGAGATATTGAAAAGGCTGAACCGAACCATGTCGACCCAGATATTCGTGGTAACCATGTTAACCCCACTTGCATATTTTTGGGGCCTACCTCCAAGTAGATACCGCTGACATGTTGAAAATAAACATGTGGGGTGTCTAAAAAATGGTGTCAAAAAAAAACGAATTGCCATTTTAAGAGGAAAAGAATGATTGGCCAGTGGCTTTAGCAGCAGAAATCCTAGAAATTTTTCAGACAGAAATCGCCAGCAGAGCAACGAAACTCCAGAGAATCCGAGTCAAAAATGGTATCAAAATGATCCGCCCCAATTTGTTCTGTGGTTTCAGGTCCATTGTCGAAGTCCTGACCCTGGCCCCTACCCAAAATCTGGATGTTCAAGGGCAAAAACGTCAGACATGACCAGTCAATCTGTGGCTTCCAGACATGTTTCATTGGCATAAGAGTTGACACCCAGTCTGACTGGGATGAAATGTTCCATATAAGTGGAACATAAATGAAAATAAAATCAAGTTCAGCGATCCCAGGTTGCCTCATGATTTCTATCGAGAAAAGGCTGGCATCGGACGGGCCTCTGAGGACTCTTCTTCCTGAGAAAAGGAGGCAAGAAATCTTATTCCTCGGTGTAAACCATGCCATTTTTGTTACCCAAAGAACTTGGCCTGTTAAGTCATGAGCTTCTCCTCTGGTAATCAAACACGGCTGGAAAATCGGTCATTTTCACGTCATCCCAGCTATAAACCTCCATTTCAGCCATGTTTCAAGGATTTTCCAGCCACGTTTGACACCGGATCACCATCGTTTCGAGGCTTCGTCCCTAGGGGACCACCGGTGCAAAATTCCACCTCCAGATGTCGTTTTTGGTGTCGTTTTTGGAGTTTCGAGTCCCAATTGTTTGGTGTTCAGTCCCGATTCATTGTTCAAATAAAATGTTAAGTTCTGTTCCCACTGTATTCCGTCCCCATTTGCTGTGGCTGGTCGTTCCTGTGGCTCAAACCCCAGGCTCTGGGTAAGTGGCAAGTGGATGTTGCAGGATTGATTTGATTTTTTTAAACCAAAATCCATATCTTCATCATCCAAACTTGAGGCCAAGGGGTGGACGGAAAGCTCGCTGGGAAGGCAAAGGTAGAAGGAGGGAGGTATGGTGAAAGAGCGGTGGGTCGGGGTGCGGTCACGCGGAGGTTTTGACTGTGAAATCACCTGATTGGCGATTCCAGTCCCTGCCACCTTGCAGCAAGAGGGACTTCAACTAGCGTAAGCGATTGGTTTCGTGATATTCACTATTCAAATCTATTCACTATCATCTTTTGGGGTTGTCACTTTTGGTGTCCTTTGTGAACACTTCAGGTGTTCATTGTGAACACTTCGGATGCCCATGTTCGAATCGGTTGTCCAAAAATGGTGTGTGGCCAACCAGGGGCAACCTCCAAACTCATCAACCAGAGGGTGGAAGTTATTGATTTTTCACTCAAAATTTATATAAAGAAATTCATCGTGAAAAAGTGTCAAAAAATGGGGTAAACCGGTACACCCTGCCAGCCGCCCATGCATCAAATTCATGAAAATCATGAACATGAATGAACCACGTCCAGTCACTGAAATTTGGAGGTTATTGCAAGGCATACCGCATACCCGTAAAGTTTAGGGATGAGGGATTTGGGATTTTGGGCAATTGAATGATTTGTAACATTGATGTTTCAATGTTTCGATATTTTTGTTGACGAATTCATTCCATGTTTTTCAGATAGATCGCATCAATTTTCCTTTTTCGTGGCGTTTTCGCATAGTTCAAATTGGGTTCCCCGGGATTGTCATTGGATTTTTGGAGGCTGCGGTCCCCCAGTCCCCATCCAACCTGCGATGTCCCCGCCTCAGGGACCGAGGTCGATATATCTGCTGTTTCCGCCATGGCAAACTGGCTGTGACCGGGCTGTCACAACGGGCTGTGGGACAACGGTACCAGCAAGGAAAACAAGGAAAACAAGGCTGTGGTGAGGCTAGAATGCTAGATTTCAAGCGAAACATTCATTTTTTTTTGCAAATGATCTGTTCAAAAAACCCCAGTTGTAGCACGAAAAAGGGCGGAGGTTCGAGCTTAAACTTTGCAAGGATTGCATGTGTGCAAAAAATATCAGCTACCCTCCGATCAGCTGGCTGCAAAATCCCACATTTCGTTCGATGATTTTCCCACCGAACTCAACCTTACAGCGGATTTTCTAACCATGTTTGATTGCCCAAGACCCGAAGGTATCCAGCAAATGAAGTGAAACATGTCCAAAACTCTCCCAGTCAGGTCCATTCATCAAAAGAGGTGACTTTTCACTGATCCCATTTGGAATGTCCGTATGATCACCAAACGTTCGGAAAACGTTTGGATAAAGTCAGATTCGACTTCCCATCTTGCCACCACCACTTTTTCCCAATGCCTTCAGGTTCTCCCAGCCGTGAGGACCAACAAATGACAAGACCCGAGAAAATGAAATGGCGGACAATGACGCAACCGTAATATGCTTGCAAAATATCACAGATCATCAAACATCCATTTCTGGGATACTTTTTGCCTTTGCTCTTTGGCCTGCAAATTGCATTGCAATTCAGTGGCAAACGGCATTTGTTTTCACGTCGCCATCAAGAAGTTCAGTGCAAATCGTTACCCTGCGCCACTGTGAAAGTTTCCGGATTCAGCCTTGCAGACCTGTTTGTTTTCTTTGCTTTTTCCGGGACCTGTGGCCTCTGGTCATGTGCGCCCTCATGTACGGCAAGAGCAGCCCAAAAATGTCCCATTCAGAAGACATTTGGACCTCACACCTCAGCACACTGATGCAAGATGCGTGGGAGAAAAAAGAAAAAGAATGTTTATGGACTGGTCCTAGCAGGTTGGCTTCGCAGGCTTGGCCAAGGCCCAGGAAGCAGTTTTAGGAATTTCGAGTGGGACCTGTCAGCAACGATAACCGATAACCCTGGGGGTCATCAGGGTGCATCGCAAAATACCCAAAACTGGAAGTTGCCCAATCCTTTTTTGCGGCACGTTATGTGCAAACAGATTTTGGAACAAGGCGTGTCAAAACGATAGTTGATAACGACGATTTTGAGCAGAGAAAGTCAATGCCGACTGCCAGGTTGGCTTCGCAAGTTTCGCAGGCTTGGCCAAGGCCAAGGAAACGGTTTCCGAAAGGCCGTTTTTATGGGGACTTAGCAAACGGGGCCGCCAGCCAGACTCCTTAGCGAGGCTACGCCGAAGGTCATTGAGCGGGCAACAACTGACATGGATGGCAACACATCTCTCAATATAATATTCGTCTGAACTTGTGGTTGGTTTGTTGTTGGCCCTGCTTAAGTATTCGGTGGTAAGCCGATCACTTTGTGGCCAATCAAAACGCAAGTGCGCACTGAAACCACCAACTAGTGGTGGTTTGGACTTCGGACCATATTTAGCACATCCACTAGGAACTACCAAGACCCTTCAAGTACCGTTAAAAATGGGACGTTTACCCCGTAGTTTTATGTTTTCCATTCTTGGGGGTATTTGGAAGGTCTATGTACAGGTTTTTTAATCAGAACCTTTCCGTCATGTCGGAGTCAGCAATGGTCTTCCACTCCATATAGCAGAATCGCAGGAAAGTTCCAAACTAATGCTCTTCCAATGCCCTGGGAAGAAGTTAACTTTCATTCAAAATGCGACTTGAGACCAAGGGGCAAGGAAAGAGCTAGGCTACAGCTTTCGTGACTTGTCTGCAGTTATTCATATAGAAGAACTCGCAGCAACTACTACCTGGAAAGTGGGTTTGAATATCAGCCACTTTTGTGGAAACAACTACGAAATTTAAGGCTTTAAGGCAGAGCACACATCTCGCACGGATTGCCGCTGATGCTGCTTTTGTCTGCCATTTCCAGCTCTTCAAGCGTCAAGCAACCTTCAAAAGGGTGGACGTCACTAGAACTGGCAATGGCAACCAAAGGAAATGTATCATTCCTGCGAAGCTACTGTAGTTCCTGGCGCGCACAGAGAACACAGTGCTTTGACCACTCAATTTAAGACGATTTGAGTTCATTGGAAATGGCAGCCTGCATCGCAAGACCGAAGTGACACATGCTGAGTCTTCAAGCAATCCCCCTTGGCAACGGCGCTCAAAATTCCATGCATGGACCCTAAAGCAAGTCTGATTTGTGGCGAAGGAAATCCAAACTACTTGTTTCCCAGCCTCGAAATGCACCAGCAGCTCCCAACCAGTAGACGAAAAGCGCCAGAGGGCTAAAGGATTCAAGGAATTCTGGCATAGATTCCAAACTCTGACCATCTAAAGAGCATGTTGTAGACCCGTAGCAAGAGTTTCGCAGCCTGCTCCAAGATTTCCAACTGAACAGGGAACATGCAGTGCAATGTGTACCCAAATGAACCAAAAACGACTTTAAGACACAGAATCTGGCGCAAGTTCCCGAAGCTTTGTGAATGGACAACTGTCGTGGCCCCGACAGCCCAAAGCAACTGCACCGACTTGCAAAGGTCGAAAGAGAAATTGCTAAAGCAAAGTCAACATATAGATACAGCGGCCGGCTCTGCACAGCATTCAATACAGGTTTTCAACCGAATCTCGGTGTAATGATGACATTTTTTGACTTAAAGATTGTGGGCAAAATATTCAGAACATGGCCATCTCCCCCCATCTCATGCCATCTCAACACTTACGATGACGGGCTTTCCTACCATGCCATCTACCGGCAGGCAATCCACCCTTGAACGCGGGGGCTTTCGCGGATCTTTCGCGCACCCAGGTTTTTTGTTTTTGCGGCGACATTTGTTTCGTAATATCTTTCATGAGGGCTAGTATATATACATGATGTCGCACCTGAATATCTAAAGTTTCAGAATATCAGACTCTCATGCGCTTTCGCCACTGCTTTTGGGGCTCAACCTTGGCACGCTCCTTTCACGGAGCTGTCCCCTGGCTTTCGCGTGGAGGTTTTGCTCTTGTGGAGAGTTCCCCGAACCTGAAGATCAACTCTCTTCATGGTCTTTTTTTGATGCTGCTCAAATAAAACTCTACATATCATGTCTCCCAACCTCAAGCATGAGCGCCTCCCATCCACTAGACGAAAAGCGCCAGAGGGCTAAAGGATTCAAGGAATTCTGGCATAGATTCCAAACTCTGACCATCTAAAGAGCATGTTGTAGACCCGTAGCAAGAGTTTCGCAGCCTGCTCCAAGATTTCCAACTGAACAGGGAACATGCAGTGCAATGTGTACCCAAATGAACCAAAAACGACTTTAAGACACAGAATCTGGCGCAAGTTCCCGAAGCTTTGTGAATGGACAACTGTCGTGGCCCCGACAGCCCAAAGCAACTGCACCGACTTGCAAAGGTCGAAAGAGAAATTGCTACAGCAAAGTCAACATATAGATACAGCGGCCGGCTCTGCACAGCATTCAATACAGGTTTTCAACCGAATCTCGGTGTAATGATGACATTTTTTGACTTAAAGATTGTGGGCAAAATATTAAGAACATGGCCATCTCCCCCCATCTCATGCCATCTCAACACTTACGATGACGGGCTTTCCTACCATGCATAACAGGCAGGCAATCCGCCGCCAGCATTCATGAAAAATATGACTTGTGAACATGCCCTTCATGCAAACAAACTAGATCAAAATCATCAGAAACAATATTGTCACCAGAGCACTCAATCACACACAACGGCACTTGGATGAAGAGAGCATCACATTCTCAAAGATCACCATCAAACAGTGGTGCAGAGCTTTTCAGGCTTGGGCCAATGCTGACACGCTGAATCCACTCTCTTGCAACTCAAACAGGTCCTACTGTGCGGAACAGCTCGATAACAACCTGCCTTAGCCGTATTGCTTTCATGCAGGTAGAAGGCCAACGCAATCACAGTGTATCAAGGTGCATCTCCTATGCCATAATTTGGAGCATCTGGGCGAGAATGCTAGCAACCAACAGTTTCAGCGCTTTCAGGGCAGTCCCTCAACCCTAAAGCCGTGTCATGCATACGGTTCATCTGTATGCTGAACACATTGCGCCATTCAGAGACACGAGGGTGGAGACATGGTGGGCTTGCCACAATTGGTCATTGGCCTTTTCACGACTCAGATTTACTTCTCATTGCTGCTTCAATCGTTCTAGTCGAGCATATGGATAAATCTTAGGATCCACAACAGCCCTGCACAAGTAACTATGCTGCACGCTGGCATCTTCCTGGAAATGCGGGAATCAGATTGTTTTCTTCCTCTGAGCAGGCTGCCCACTGCGACAGCTGTTTGGTTTCGATGCGGGGTGCACTTTACTTCGGCGCTGCTAGTCGACAGGCATGTCCTCAAGCTGGATGTCTGCCTAAGAAGTCTCATTGCTTGCGGCAGCACTGAAACCAAACATATGTTTCTCTGGCATCGGTGGCATCCTAAACAATCTGAACATTGGCAATCGAGAATTGCTTGGTGCTCAGGAGCCTCTGGTGGTGCCATCCTAACGATCAACCTCAAGCGTGCCGTGGCAAGCTCTTTGCTTACACCTCAGCTTGTGAGCAGGGTGACCACTGCGAACCCTATTTTCTTGTGATGCGAGATGCACTACATGCACCTGACTTTCGTTTTGCAAGTCAGCAGACTTGTCCACTTTAGAGAGGAGCCAACTACACCGCTGACTCGCGCATCCATCCCCAGGTTTTCCATTCAACTGACCCGCGACGCGGAAAGTGAGAGCAAGGGCGTACACAATGCTCCCTCGGAGTTCCTCTGTCGTCATACATATCTGTAAAATGCAATCCATGATCTGGAGGTTTCTTAAAATCGGGGTAGCCCAAATCATCCAAAATTAGCAATTTTAGCATTGAAACACATGGTTTTGGGGTACCTCTATTTCAGGAAACCTCCATTTGGCATGCGTCTTCA